ATCCTGCATTCCTTACTAGCCACCAGCAGGTGCGTGTGGGCTGCAGTTTTCTTGTGTTGTTTGGCTCAAGAGTTAGGGAGGGAAGTGGAAAGTTCGAAAGAATAGCCGCTTAAGCATCAGCGCTAGCAACACCAAGATGATCATCATGTCAAATATTCTTACTGTTCCTACTATTACTATTATTTTTTTTTATTACTATTGTTACTATTAATATATCACTACTAAACAGCCACAGACTTAGCAACAAAGAGGGGCCCTGCTTGGGGATGCGGCAGTGGCCTTCGAGAGCTCGTAGCGTCTTGTCATCGTCCGCAGCTGCGTGCGCGGCAGAAGAAAGTTTGACTGCGACATATGCAGCTGTCACAGTTTGATGAATACGTGATGAGATTGAGGGCCAGGCTCCCTTGAGTGACTACTTTCAATGGTCTCCGTCAGCGGGCCAGGCTCTTACTGGCGAGGTTTTTACGTTCCTCCCTGACTGTCCAGGATGTGTCGTTTTGCCCAAAAGACTGCGGGCTTGACGTCGTTGCAGCACAGTACAGTATAGAGCGGACTGGATTTCAGACTTGTCCACATGTCAGCGGTCATGTTTTGATGAATTGCACGAGGTGCATCATGTTAAATGCGACCACCTGTATGACATACGGAGAGTCTACTTAAGATGCAGCATGCAGAGGTCAAGGGATGCTGTGTGCAAGACTATGTAAGGTATTATGCGCATGGGCATCTGACAGAGCAAGCTGCACCAAGCGCAAGATCCTTGTCCCCCTTCAGTACCTCCTGCCTTGGAAGCAAGAGCACAGTTTGGAGCCTAGCTTAGCTGCACCCCACTCATCCCTGAGCTCTTAACACTACACCTTGACGGTAAATTTCCCATGTTCCCATGAGCTTGTAGGAGATTGCCCCAGCATGTGCCGCCATGGCCAAATGGCGTGGAGGGCTTCTGCTCGCTGTTCAAGGCGCATGCGTGCGCAAGTGAATTTGAGAGCCTCTGGATCCCTTCCCAGATCCCTTACGTAAGGGTTTTCGAGAACTGGAGCGCAACCAAAAGGACCCCATCATGCTATTGACCCAGACGCTGTATTGTTGAGGGGGTTCAATTCTTGAGTTCCTTTCGGGTCTTCCTGTGCTGCACTAAAGATATCAATGAGCCCTGACACTAAGGTGCTTAGGTATTCGCTGTCTATAGCAGTGCCGGTGCCCAATAAGCTTTCATTGCAAGACAGAGGCTTTGCTCCTTTTACTTGGACTTGGGAAGCAGTAGCTATCTGAGCTATAGTCTAAACT